TATGATTTTGTTTTTTGCAAGCAAATATCCTTTCTCTATATAACTATATGATCTATTATTTATCAGGCCCCAAGAACATCCCGTACTAGTTTAGTAAAAGGTCGATCGCAAGCTAATGCCGTCGCTCAACAAGCTCTGATTGCTCACTGGCAGAGTATTGTGAAAATACTCGACATTTACTTGAAGATAATGCAAGCAAACCATGTATGATCTGAACTATTCTCCGAGTCAGTAATTAGTGCTCATTTCCTTTCTTTTGTTGAAACATGTTATGTTCTTTTGGCGATTTTTTCATCACAGGTACCGCCTTTCCTAGTCCGGAAGATTTTCGCTCAAGCATTTTCATTTATCAATGTGCAATTATTCAACAGGCACGTACCTACAGACACCTTGGTTACCTCTTTTTCCATTTCACAGGAAATTTCATCTGATTTATACATTGCACATTTTATTTTATTTTTTCGAAATTCTCCAGTCTTCTTTTACGCCGAGAATGTTGCTCATTCAGCAATGGGGAGTTTGTGAAATCAGGGTTGGCTGAATTAGAGCAATGGTGTAGCTATGCAACTGACGACGTAAGAAAGCTTTCTTTTGATAGAAATGAATTAGTAGCTACCCCAAATTTATCTTTGTATATCTCTATGCAGTATGTAGGCTCAGCTTGGGATGAACTGAAGCATATAAGACAGGCAGTCGAATTTCTGGTGGGAATCATGTCCTCTTTCGTTGCTCATCTAGTTGGTTTTTTTAAGGGTTGGCAAAAAAATCCAACCGAACTGTCGAACCGTTGAACTGAATTGAACCGAAAATTCGATTCGAATACAAATATTGCATATTTGATATTTGTTTGGTTCGGTTTCGGTTTTTTATATTTTTTCCGGTTCAGTTGACCGAACCGAATATATTTATATTATTATATTTTAAAATTTATATTAAGAATTATATTTTGTTCGGTTTCGATCCGCATATTTGAAATATTTGCAAATATTTTTTATTTAATTAGAATTATAATTACTTTTTGATATATTTTTTCTTAATTTTGGTATGGTTCTGAGTTATTTGTAAATACTCCAAATATTTTTGGTTAATCGAAAATTCTGTTAACCGAAATTTTCTGTTCGGTTCACGATTTCGGGTATTTGTTCAATTCAGATATCAAATACCTACGTATTGCATATAACTGAATGTGCCCACCCCTCGTTTTTCCCATCTGATTTCTTGCATGGATCGGTGACACAAATAATCCTCCTTGGTTCGTATTTCAGGTGGTACATCAAAAGCCCAAGAAGTCTTTGAATGAGATTACAAATAACCTCTGTTCGGTGAGCAAACCTTTTTCAATTCCTCGCCATATTTTAAAATGAGACGTTTTTCTTCTTTTTTGAAGCATGTCTCCTTTGGGTGTGTTTTTCTATGTTAGGTATGGGTCGGTTATATAAAGATATTACCTCCATCCGGCTCTAAGTGTCACATTTATATTTTGTGTGTTGATATTTGAATATTAATTATTATATCAAAACGCAGTATATATTAAGAGAAAATGACAAAACTACTTCTATTAGTGTCTTATTATATTACTAAAAAGGATATTTATACAAAAAAATTTATATAAATATAAAAATATTTTTAATGTTAAATACAATGACACAAAAATAAATGTAACTTTTAAAAGCGGACGGAGGAAATATTATTTTATGTTAAATTATAGATTTTTGTGAATAGATAGAATGTATGTATCATAGATATAGTGTAATTGTATGTATATATATATATATATTTTTAGTAATATTCATCGGAAATCGAATAAAAAATTGTTAGATGAACAAACTTCCTTTTTTACAGGTCCTGAGCATACAGCAACTATACCGAATTAGCACCATGTACTGGGACGACAAATACGGCACTCATAGTGTATCTCCTCAGGTAATCTAAATCTAGTAGCTAGTCTCATCTTGTTCGTAATTCTGGACACGGGCTTTTGTAATTCTAAATGTCACCGTTAACTTACATTACTCATAATAGGTCATTTCAAGTATGCGAAATATGATGACCGAGGACTCCAACAATTCAGTCGGCAGTTCCTTTCTGTTGGACGATGATTCGAGGTGAGTAACATCTTAATGACAACATGATTACCTTTAGCACCATTTGATATCTTACAGAAAAAAAGAAAAAAGAAAAAAAGGTTCAATAGATCGCGATCTCTACATCTTAAGAAAGCTCAATTTAATGTTTGTGGAATATTAGTTTTATGATATATCATTTTTGTTTGTGTGCGCAAAATTGGTGTCAACAAGCTGTGCAAAATTCATCATTTTGTCACAATTTCAACGGACTTTGCTATTATGGCCGTTATTGGAGCATATGTAGCATAATGGCCATGCTTTTTAGAAATTTAATATGAAGTAACATGGTCTTTTTTTTAGTTGTATGGACTTTTTTTTATGCCACATATGCTTTCATAACATCTTGTTAAAATTGTAACAAAATAATGAATTTTGTACCAATTCGTTCAAAATTGACCAATTTTGCGCCAAAAAAATAAATAAATAAATAAATACTTCCTCCGTCCATCAAAATTACGTTAGTTTTAATCTCTTCGTTTGTCCACAAAATTTATGCGTAAACTTTAGTAAAAAAAAAGATATATTCATAATTTTATTACTCTTACTTACAAATAATAATAATTTTTTCACCATTTTATTTTTATCAATTTCTTAATAATCCACTTCATTTTTATATTAAAATATTTTATTTTATTTTATTTTTTCGTGCCCAACAAAGTAGTATAATTATCCCGGATGGAGGTAGTACATCATACGACTAATTTTGCGCATACAAACCAACTCATTGTAGTACTAAAATTGTATGGGTTTAAACCCCCGACGCTTCAGGTCACCTGTCAAGCATGGTTTGTCTAGTGTAACTTGCCTGTCGAGCCTAGTTTGGAGGGTATCAGATTTGGCTGGGGGTTTACCCAGTGCGCACTTTTGGGTAGCGATTGCGGATTCTCATGTCATAATAAAAAATAAAAAATAAAAAAACTGCATTTCCCCCTAGTCTCTCTTTCCATATATTAACTTTCTATGCTCCGAAACACATTGTGTTGTTTTTCATCTGCAGGATCCCTTTCTCTTTGGATGACATTTCGAAATCCACGGAACAAATCGATGTAGCTGACATCGAACCTCCTCCTCTCCTCCGGCAAACTTCCGGATTTATATTTTTGAACCAACGAGTAGCTTCGTGATGGGGTTGTAGTTTTCTTACAAAAAATCTTGTCCTTCGCCGACATCATTTTCGGCTACTACGAAGAAACAGACAGGTACCTATCTATACCCACACACTTTTACATCATTTTTCATAGTCTTATGTTTGTGTTCCAATACGGTAATCATAATTGGTTTGATTTGTCTTGTTTTTGAATTATTTGAAATATAATTGTAGAGGCGATTATATGAAAATGTTGAATTATATATATAATAGTCTTGTAGGTATACTGAAAACGATTTTTTTAATGATGACTTGTTGTCGTGTCACTTTTGGGTAATAAAAATCCCCACTTTTTGGTGTTTCTAGTGATGCAGAAAATGGATAGAAAAATAATCACTTATATTCAGTTTAATAGTTTATGTATAAGAATCATATTATTATTTCATAATTTGGGCTGCTGCATAATGTTTACTTTCTTTTTCTTTTTGTTTGTATTCCTACGATGTTTGGTTTGTGGTTTTTTATGTTTTTTGTTTGTATATATTTATTTATAAGCTAAAAAAAATTGCATTGGTAAATAAAAGAAATTATTTTAGAGACGTTTGATTTTGATTTGATTAATTCTATTTTAATACTTATGACATTTTTTAAAAAAATCTTAGCACTCTAAATAAGCTCAAGTTATTAGAATTTTTTTTAGTGCGAATTATCAATTGTATTCATAAACATACTAATTTCTGTGTCTACTATAAGTGTATTAACTTTACCATAACTAGTAAAAATATCCATTTTTTTAATTTTTATTTTATCTTTATTTTACACGACCAAAGTTATAAAAATTTTAATTTTACTCGAACAAATTTTCAAATATAAATAAGAGAAACACTTTATATACAATATGTACATGCAATATACATTTTTTATACTTTTTACATACAAATATACTTTGTATGTTGAAGTATTACAAAAATCAAACAATTCAACATAAAATATGTAAGTACACATTTTGCCATTTTTTATTATCCAAATGCAAAATAATCATTTTTTTTAATAGATATAAACTCTAATACATATTTATAAATACTCATATTCACACTTATTTATACCAATGCTTATAAAAAAACACATTAAAAAAAAAGAAAAAGAAAAAGAAAAAAGACATCTATATGTTCTTCCGCCGTTATTTTTCAATTATAATTAGTCAAAAAATAATAATAATAAAAAATACAAAATATTTTATCCAAAAGTCAAAAAACTTCGAAAACTCACCATAGAAAAAAAAAATAATTACAAAAAGTAAAGAAAAATCAAATATTCAACTTAAAATAATATATACTATACTTCCTCCGTTTGCCTCTGAGAGTCACATTTACCTTTTGTATAATTGTATTTAATATTAAAAATAAATGAAAACCTTAGGAAGGTACTATATATTTTTTTTTACACAATTCTGTCACCCAACAATAACAATATTAACCTAAACTGTACCCAAACATATTACACATTCCCCAAAAGAAAAGCCATATTAACATCACCAGAGCAACTAATATACACAATTCATGAAACCAAACAAACTTAAACCCCAAGCTTTCGGTCGCTAATACCGCATATTGTTCGCCTAGTGTGACTTTTTGCAGGGTATTAAGTTCAACTGAAAATTTACCCGGAGCGCACTCGAAAAGCAGAAGCTATGGGTTCCCACATTATTCAAAAAAAAGAAAAAGAAAAACCCAAACTCATTCACCAAATAATATATGCATGCAGATCTTAAAAAACACAGAAAGAGAGACTAAATGCAGCAGTTAATTCTTACTTAAGACCCACAAAAGACACACAAGACTTTTTTGATCAATCCCTCCCTACAAACCCCTAATAAAACCTCCTTTACAGCGAACCAAAGAGTTAAGAACTGTATATATCTAACTACAATAGAACCAACACATAACAACACTACCAACAACCACGACGACAACGATTGTATTTCATACTTCCCTAGAAACGATATAAAAAAAACAATTACACAAAGCAACTACGCACCTTGGTTATAGCTGCAGAATGCAATATATATATAGTAAAAGAGAACGAACCAGCGTAGGTAGGTAGGTAGGTAGGTGGGGTACCGTGAAGTCAAGCACGGGCCCTCTTGTTGCTGCAAGACGGGCATTTGTACTGCTTGATGTGCTCGGCCCTAGCAGGAGTGATCTTCACGCACTTACCATGGAACCACGTCTCGCATACGTCGCAGCAGATCCAGAATTCATCCGTCGCGTAGTTCTCCCCGCATGCCCCGCACAGGGTTTCTCCGTTTTCGTCCTCCTCAAACTCGTCGACAACTGCGTCGTCCTCGTCTTTCGCCTGGGGTTTCGACGCTTTCCCCTAAACATCTCGAAATGTTAGTTGAACTCAACGGTAAAAGAAATTTCCGGGAAATAAATCTTTTCGGAAAAAAAAAAAAAAAAAAAAAACACTAGTGTTTCATACTGTGTTCATATATATATATATATATATGAATAGAACTAGTGTTTTATACATACAAAGCCATGTTGAGTATATTATACTCGTCGTGGCTAGGGCTGTAAACGGGTCGGATCCTATCCGGATCCTAGAGTTCCAGATCCGCCCTTTAATTCGGTTCCCGGATCTGGTTCCGGATCCGTCGGAACCTGAAAATTGTGGACCGGATCCAGCCCAATCGAATTCGGCGTCGGGTCCAATACCCTTAGACCAAATTTAAGATAATCTAGAAAAAATAAAAAAGAAAAACTGCAGGTCTTGCGACTACGTGTCGAGTTTATTTGGATGAAATGAATTAGGACAGGAATGTTAAATTTATAAAATATGATATAAATATTTAATTATGTAATAGAATATATAATTATATAATAAATAATAATATATAATATATAGTACCGGTTCCGGATCCGGTACCATATAATACGGATCCGGGTTTTAATTGAGTTCCGAATCCGTAAAATTTATATCGGATCCGGTCCGGAACGGACCAAATTGACAGCCCTAGTCGTGGTTAAGCAAAACAAAAGGTTAAAATAAAAATATATAAACCCTAAACCCTAATTCCTTTACCGATTTTGATTTGGATCTCCCGCCGCTATGGTTTGAGACAGATGACTTGTCCTTCACTTGCTTCTTTGCAACTCCAGACACAACTTCAAAAATTGTTGGAAGATCGTTTATCATATTGAATAGGCGTTTTCTGCATCCATTACAGAAAAAACAGTGAAGCAAAACCAAACCTCGTACCCGAGAAATCAACCTAGGTATCTTACTATAAGACATAAAATAGGCAAATTTACGCTACCAAATCCGTAATATTCAAAAAAGATAAAAAAAATAAATACACTACAAAAAATATTTGATTGAAGAGTACATTTTCTTAACCCACAAGAAACACCGTTAGAACATGTCCTAAATTCTTCTTGTACCTAAGGAGATTAAACTGATTTTGAGTACATAGAAGTGTTTTCGACCAGAAAGATACCAATGTGTTAATATTTTAAACACAGTTTAAAGCTCAGATTTGTTGAATAACAAAAACAGTCGGGGAAAAGAGATGTGAATGAAACATGGAGAACGGTTAAATTTTCACTATGAAGGGAAAAATGAAGAAATTAAGATGAAACGATCTTCAAAGATCATAACTTACAAAAGGCTACCTGTCAGCTTTATCGAAACCAAATCTCGCGCCATAATAGAATGCAACTGAGAGTAACCATACATCACTGTGTACAGCAACAAGTGCCAACCAGTCCTTTACTTCCATTCCATCCCTTGCAAAGTTTATACCTAAAACAGGTTCTGGAAGCTCCGATGGAACCTCCTCAGCAGGTAAATTAACTTCCCACTGCTCGTTAGGAAATCCATAGAGACAGAGATTTTCTTTCTCTGAAAATTTTCAAGATGTGGCATCGTTAAAGTTTCGAATACTGTTTCAGTGCCTTTAGATGTAAGTATCTTGAATTCAAATATTACTGAAACACCAACATTACACTTTGTTATGGACTTTATTGAATGACTGAAAGCATAGATTGTACAAAATGAAACTCAAACATGGCATTGAAAAACAATAATTTACACACAGAATCTCATATGTAACACTTCAAAAATCAAAACTTGTACAGACTACAAATCAAACAAATACAATTTGATGTACATTTGCTATTAGCAACTTGTCCAAGTTACAGATCAAAATAGTTTACCATTATAATATTACTGAAAGTAGGGCTGTGTTATTTTTATTTTATTTTTTTTCTCATCTTTTGATTATTCAATCTAATATCTTTCCTCCAAAAATTTCATATCCAACTTCCATTTTCCATACAAAACAACATATCCAACAACTATTTTCACCTATAAAACATCAATATACAAAACAAAAACAAAAGACTACAACCTACATTTGCATTTACTAGAAACCACTATATGCATGTGAGTACAAGTTTCATTAGTTACTTTCATGCACATTTCAGTTAAAAAGATAAATTTCCATTTATTCTCTCAGGGCATGGAGAGTAAAGAGATTTCCAATTGATTCCAATTCTAATTAAATGGGAACCAAACATTAGATAATATTATCAAAATGATATAATTAATAAATGCATTCCAGCACTGCCACTTACAAAAATGAAATCATTACCACTACATTATTCAATTATTAAAGCACTTCCATTCACTTCCTTCAGAATTGGGTTTGTTATAATGTTCTCAATACCATACCCCCAATTGTAGTTTCCTTGTGACTCTCAGATACATAAATTTTTTCATCGAACTTATTTTTATAAAAGATAATACTAATTCATTCATACTATTATCCATTCACCCAAGTGAAGAATCAAATTCAACAACGGACGGAGTTCAAAAAGTCTGCACAACAATCTCTATACATTAAATCAACAGCTTAGAATAGCATCCGAACATCCAACAAAAAGGTACCCATACAATGACAAGTTGGATATAAATCCCCGTCTAATCACTTAATTAAGCCAATGAAACCTCCAAACTCCATAAATCAGTAGCAGCATAATCCAGAATGTTCAAAGTCATGCACCGATAAACTCAAAATTACATTCGCAAGCGGAAATTCGCACCGAAACAGGAAACCTAATCTAAAAAACACTTACCAGGATCGCACTTCCGGAAAAATTCTTCAACGTCTGAAAAAAAGGACAACAAAAACAACAAATAAGCCCAACACTAACCAAAAAAACAAAACAAAAAACAAAAACATAAAACCAAGGCACCAGAATGCATTTCAATCGCAAAAATCGAACCCTAAAACAAGCAAAAACACTAGAATAGCCAAAATTTCACAAACAGAGTGGCTAAAACACACTCGAACTGCCAAAATTAGCAAAGACAAGTACCAAAAACCGTGAAAAATCCAAAACCGCAAAAATAATTCACCGGTAGTGAGCGCTTTGATCAAGGCGTTCCTCCTCCCCATATAATCCTTAAATATATCTTCTCCGGTGGCCGGAGTATTGTAGGCGACTCTATCCATGGCGCCTCCTCCACGAACACGCCGCAGTTGGTTCTTCTCAGTGGTGGTTTTGAAATTAACTGCGATTGAGAGAGTCGTGGTAAGGTCAAAAAACATAATATACTGATACTAAGAGGCACAGTCACGGCTCGGGGGTAAAGATGGAATTCCCTTATTTAGCAGGGGTAATTTCGGAACTTCGAGTAGGGTGTCCGGAAAATAGTGCCTTTATTTCTGCCACTCCTAATATTATCACATATTTAGGTGTGTTTCTCAGCAATTGAATTTTAAATTCATTATTTATTTTATTTTATTTTTTAAAAAATATTAAATTAAATATTTATTTTTTATTTTATATATTATACAAAAATTAATTTTATATTTAAAACATTATATAATTATTAAAATTTAAAATTTTTACTATTTAAATTTCGATTCAAAATTTAAATACCCAAACAAACACACCTTGTTTTGGAGCTTCAGATGATTTCTAGTGTTTTTTTATTATTTAAAAAATAAATCAATTGTTTAATTTTTAATAGTATAATAAAAATTAATTTTATAATTAAAATATTATTTTAATATTTATTTGTATTACATTGAAATTTAATTTAAACTTTTATTATTTAAAATTCAAATTTTGAACAAACACACTTTGGGTTCTTTTATGATGTAATTCTAACCATGGTCTCGAAAGATTCTGCAATATTTTCAAAATATTTCTTTTCCTGTCTTATCTATGTATATGCTTTTTTTTTTTAATAAAATTTTAGAAATATTAGTATTATATTGGAATGTGGTATTAATAAAGCAAAAAAAATAAATAAATAAATTTAGTATTATGTGATATAAAAATAATAATATTTGTATAATATATTGTAAGTTGTAAAAATAGTTTTAATATTAGTAAAAATACAATTACCACAAAAAGATAATTTGTTATGAGATGAACAAAAATAAAAAAATAGATAAATTATTACGAGTATAAAACAATTAAATACACTTAATTTTTATCATATATCTGATTTCATCAAATCATTTAAATAAAAATAAATAAATATATATTACATATTTTTTTCTCATTATATCACCTAATATTTTCAAAATAGGAAATATAATTTTTTTTAAAAAAAAATACACACCCACAAAAAATGAACATACCCAATTTATTTTGTTTATTTTTCAATTATTAAAATACATATTTATGTCTATTTTCAGTAAATATGAACAATACATACTAAAAAAAATTCTCTAACTTCCAATTGTTTACATCAATACCATCTCACCTTCCAAAATTATGTCATTAGAAAGAAAGTGATATAATTTTGGTTATTGAAAAATGTGTAGTTATTATGAAATATTTATTTTTATTATTTTTTAATTTAAAAATAATTTTTATTGAAAGATGTAAGGGTGTGTTTGTTAGAGGGATTTTTTTTTTCAAAAATTACTATTAATTAATTTTTTTTCCTAAAAAATCAAATAAAATATCTATTATTTATTATTATAGTATAATAAAAATTAATTTTAAATTTAAAACATAAAACATGGTATCAACATTTATTTATATCACACTATACCACTATTCTAATTCAAAATTATTATATTCAAATTATAACTCAAAATCCAAACCCCTAAGGCCATATCCAACCCATCAACTCCATTTATTCAGTTTTAATTCCAAATACGCAGTTGTTACAGTAATTTTATTCCAACTATAACTCCATTTTTTACTGTTATCCTTCAAATATTCAATTTTTTTATTATTTTAAACAACTTTTTATTTTTATAATTTAAAATAAAATTTTTTAAATTTTTTAAAAATAAAAATTAAATTTAAAAATCAAATCTATAATTTTAAAAATTTTAAAAATTAAAAAAATAAAACAACACAAAAAATTGGCGTTGAATTTGACGTGGCCAATGACGCTAGGTTGAAGATGCTCTAAACAAACACATTCCAAATATATACTCTATTTTTATTAAGAATGATGTAATACTTAAAATAACAGTAGGACAATTTTGGTCCGAAAATGGTACATTTATTTTTTTTGTTAATTTTTAAATATTAATTATTATATAAATATGCATTATAAATTAAAAAAATAATAAAAATATTTATATCAGTATCTTATAATACTAATATAATAATATTTGTGTAAAAAATATATAAATATAAAAATATTTTAATTTAAAGTAAAGATAACGAGAGGAGAGATTATTTTTAAATTATTTTACGTAAAATGTAAAACGTAAAATGACAAAAATACAGGCATACAGCTAAACCAACAGACACAATTTGGATCGGACCCGACAGATTTGGGTCGGGCTGTTTAGGGCACTCTCAAGATTTGAACCCCGACCCGCCCACCATGGCCATCACCAAGGTCAAGCATCGATTTGGGAATTGGGATCAAACCGCAGCAGGCGCAGGCGTCCCCCCAACGCCGTCGAAATGCAGATGATCTCCTCTTCGATAGTCCACTCCTCCGCCTCCGGTCTTCTCCTCCCCAAATTTCGATTCCGTTCTGCATTTTCCCTCTCGAATCTCAGCACTCTCAGTGTCTCCCGCCGCGCTGCCGCGGCGGCTCCGATTTGCGCGGTTCCGTCGGACACAACGACGATGGGGACGGGGTTCAAACCCGAAGAAGCGCGAGTACCGCCGGCCATCTCTCCCCCTGAACCTCCGATCACTAAGGTAGTTTACTTGATATTGGTTAATTACTGTGGGCATCGATTTGTGAGCTGGATTGTGTCAATTGTGCTTCGTGTAGAAAGGAATAGGGTTTCTTGTTAACTGTAGGTTGATTGTGATGGAGATAAGCATGTTTGATACGTCCATGGCTATGGCTTTACTTGTGTGATCTTGACATGGCAAAACTTTGCTTTGTTTACACACACAATTTTCATTTTCTAGTTTTAGAGTTTTTGAAAATTTTAGAAATAATAAAAACTTCAAAGTATGTGATGCGATGTTTTGTAGGTGAATGTAAATTCGATAATTCAAGAGGGTATAATTAGTAAATAATTAAGAATGTATTATTAAAAAGTAATTATTGTATAATAAAATTAATTTTAAATTAAGATTAAGATAATATATTAGTTTAATTAAAATTAAAAAAATTTATAAATTTATAAATTTAAAATGAGATTAAAATGTATAATTCACTGAACAAGTGGGACTGAAAAGTAGAAAGGTAGACATGGTAAGTGAGACAGAGGGAGGTCGAACCCTTGTAGGGTACGATGTTTTTGAGGAAAAAAAACCCTATGAATGAATAGGGTCAAAATTGATCTGAAAATATATGTAATTAGAGATTTTTGGGGTATTTTGAATTTATTACTAGTTTTTTAATGGAAAAGGGTTTTTTGACATGAAGTTTTCAATGGAAAATAATGGATATAACTTTTTGGATGAACAAGAGGTCTAATATGATTTTTATTTTTAAAAAAGAGAAAATTAGGTATTACTTGTGAAGATTTGAATGGAAAATATGTTTTCAACATTGTATTTTGAATGAAAAATAGTTTTTAGAGTGGATTTTTTTAATGGGGAAATTATTTTACTATTTGCAAATTAAACTCCCAAATTATGTGGTATAGAAAAAGCTTAAACTATTCCTCAATTTTCACATTTCACTCTAGAATTCATCCTTAGCTGCAGGCTTTGTTGTTGTTGTTGTTGTTTAGTTATTTATTTCCGCGGCTTGGTTACTTAAAAAGTTACTTTTCCAACTCTATAAATGTCGTAAATATATGATTGCTGTGATATTTTCAAGGGTGTTCACGTTGTATATTGAAGTTCGCTAACTTTGGGCATTTTGTTTCAGTTCAATATCGCACTTTGTCAGTTGTCAGTGACCCCGGACAAGGAAAGAAACATTGCTCATGCTCGCCAATTTATTGAAAAAGCAGCAAAGAAGAATGCTCAACTGATTCTTCTTCCTGTAAGTGAGTTATATGTGAATTTACTCGTAGCACTTGGGTTCGTATTGTCTGTTTTTTTTTGTCCTATACTTATCGTGATCTAATTTGGAGTCTCTCCTATAGTTTTAAAAATTTTCAATTCTGATTGCAAGAAAAGAGTCAGATGTATATGATTCGTTAGGTGGCTGTGTTCTTCAAATTATTACCTTTCCTGTAAGTAAGTTTCACCAGTCTCGACATTTTCAATGTGTAATAGATTAATCATGATTGTTGATTTTCAAATAAGCACTTGTGTGGTTTGTTGTGTTTTTTACTATTCTCAATATGAAATACTCCCTTTCGCTTGCCAAAATTATGCCAATGGTTCTTTTTTGGTTGTCCGCTAATTTATGCATAGTCTTTATTCACTCACAATTTTATGTATCTCTACTTTAAGAAATAAATCTCCCTTTGTCCATCAAATCTATATCTATTTTCCTTTTTTTGTCCACAAACAATTTGTACTTTCTATTTATAGCAAATAACTCTTACACACTCTTCAACATTCTACTTATTTACATATATACCACAAATATATGCCACAAATATTTACACATTCAATCTCTTGAAAAAAATTTCAAATCATTAACTCACTCATAAAGGTTTCGAAATACCTTTACATTATATCACAATAAACCAATATAATAGTATATTAATTAAAATCTGTATTCAGCTCGTGTGAGCATTTTTTTTTGGACAGATGGAGTAACCATTTTCCTACTATTTTTTCTATTTACTCAATTATGGTTTTAACACCCTTGCTTTATTTTTTATCTTCTCAACTTTTATATTAAAATATCATTATTTCTATCTTTATGTCCAAACAAACCCACATAATTTTTCCGGACGGAGGAAGTACTAAATTTATGTCATCATCTCTCTTTGATTTCAAGAAATATGGAATAGTCTTTGTGCCCATGCAAACCCGTGTGATTTTTCTGGACGGAGGGAGCACCAAATTCATGGCGCCATTTCTCTTTGAGTTCAGGAAATATGGAATAGTCCGTATTCAAATGACTGTTTTCCGCTGTATGCTGAGGATATTGATGCGGGAGGTGATGCATCTCCATCAACGGCAATGTTGTCTGAACTTGCAAAAACCTTAAAGATTACAATTGTTGGTGGGTCCATACCAGAAAGAAGTGGTGATAAAATTTATAATACATGTTGTGTCTTTGGAACTGACGGAAAGCTTAAGGCTAAGCACAGGAAGGTATATCAATCTTTCATCATCGAAAAAAAAATAAAAATAGATAAATCTTCTGACTGCCGTTTGAACAGTGTGCTCTTGTGTGGTCTCAGGTGATTTATAACCTTTTCTTTGCTTTTACAGATCCATCTCTTCGATATTGATATACCTGGTCAAATGACCTTTAAAGAATCAGAGACTCTCGCAGCAGGGGTAACGCCAACCATTGTGGATACAGGTGCTATTTACTTTCTTGCTAAAGATTTTTGTACAATTGCAATTCCATAGATTGTCATGATTCTGTGTGTTCTTATTGTTGTTTATTTATTTCATATTTAAATTAAACAGAAGAATAACGTGTTCGATGCACTGTGATTTTGGTTATTATAATTTTGGATAATTTTAGCTTTATTGTCTCTGAGGCCCTGTTTGGTTTGACGGATTTGGATTTTAGGGCATATTTTAAATGAAAAGATTTGAGTTACTTCGGAGTAGAAATGTTTTACAATTTAAATATGTTGTAGTATGAACCATTGAAATGACTTGGTATTAAAAAGTATTTAAAATCCACTGTTGACTTCATAGATTTGAACTCCATTGTATTCCCAAATGAGTGAAATGAATTTAAACAAGCCATTTGAATCAATTTAGTTCGAATCACCTCAACCAAACAGGGCCTCAAAGAATTTTCAAATCTTTTGTCGTGAGATTATTTTTGCAGTTATACTATTATATGTAATGTTTGTTCAACTGTAATTCTGTATCATTGCAAATTTCTAATTGTTGTGTGAACCCGCATTTGTTTAATCTCAACCCAAAATATTGTCAGCTCGTTAAGTAATGTCATCTTCGTATTATCAAATTTTATTTGAGTTGATTGAAAGCTCGTGTGAGAGAAACCTTCAGTTGATATGAAAGAAATTCTCCGGCTATTATTTGGTATGCAGCCATCAGTTCAGTGATGAATTATGTTATTATGTGTTCTTGGCTATGGCTTATTGACAGCTTCCTACTTAAGCAACCTGATAAAAATAATCATTTCTTGCTTTCATATTGCTGAAATTTTAATACCACACTGTTAACTTTTGCACCTGATGACTATATCCATGCAGATGTTGGGCGAATTGGAATAGGTATTTGTTATGATATTCGATTTCAAGAGCTAGCTGCTATATATGCTGCCAGAGGTATGTTACTCTAATTCAGGGTAAGGTTAACATTATATTCAAAATATCATATCCAAAACCTTAAGAAATTAAGTTTCATTCTTATTTCTTTTGATTACACCAAACCCTACATAATATACAATAAATATTCAAAATACCTAAAAAGCCCTACATTATTCTAAATACAAACAATGGACCAATATAAATATATCTAGCAAACCTGCATACATCACACTAACACCTATTTTCCATTCATATACTTTACCATTTCCAAAATATTTCAAAACACCAAAACATATCTAAATAAAGCTAAGTTTTGGTTCTCTTTGAGTTTTTTTACTATATATTTCACCGTTTCCAGTAAAAACGTATCAATTTTTCATGAAAGATATTACATTCAACAATTATTTCATCTAAAAAAAAAAAAAACCAAAAACCGAAACACGTAAAAGAACAAAATGCAATGCAGCAATATCTCATTAGCTTTTAAGTATCAAATATCAACGATTCCATTCAATTGACATAAAACTTAAAGTATCAATGCTGCTTTTGATATTTCTGGAGTAATTAAATATGGAATCTGTGCTGTATTGTAATAAGCCATTAATGTTTAGTGAATTTCTAATTATACAAAATAACTTTTACAAGTGTACTTTTTCCTCAGGTCCTTATATCTAAACCTTTTTATTCACCGTATCAAACGGTTCTTGAACTTTGTCTGTAACCTTACTTGCTTATTCATAGCTTAAATTTCTAAGAATTTAGAAAGGCAATTATTATATGAGCTTGAGGATTCCAAGACGAGTCATTTGTTCTTTATATTTAGGTGCACACTTGCTCTGTTACCCTGGGGCCTTCAACATGACTACTGGTCCTCTTCATTGGGAGTTATTGCAGCGAGCCAGGTAATGAAACGATTTCCCAGCTCTTAATCTTGCTATCAAACTTTTAGGTATTGTGAAATTAATTTTTGTTCGTCTTGAGCTCTGTTCTTTTTGAGGTTTTTGTCAGTTTATTTACTAATACAATCATCATGATTTTCTATAAAAATACTCTAGTTACTATTACAAAACATCGCATTCAGTATTTAAAATACAACAACACAAACCACATATACAAACACACCTTGGTGTTTTGGTATGTTTTGGGAATAGTAAAATTTTAAATTAAAGGTTGTTTAATTTGACATAAGTAGGTATTATGTTTTGAATGAAATATAAATTATATATAATACCCCTTCTGTCCAACTCAATTTATGTATTTGTGTTTTTGTAGTATTTTATTGATTAGTGAGAGTGTAGAGGATGGTTTTGATAGTACAAAGAAAATGGATATTTTTGTAAAAATTAAGAATATTTTGGTATTTGTATATGAGTTACTTTTACTCCAATAGAAAAATGATTCTTTTGAGTGGGACAAACGAAAATAGCAAATAATACTTTTAGGATAAAGGGAGTTTATATTAAATGAAAAATAAATATATGATGTAATGGTTTTGGAGGGGGGGGGGGGAATAAGTTAGCTTAAATGTATGATGATAATGGGGTTGTGAAAACACAACCAAACAAAATGTGCGTAGAAACTACATATAAATGGTATAATTTCCCCTGTATCAGCTGATGAACTGAATGGTCTTCTTAATTTCCAGGGCAGCGGACTCTCAGGTACTTACCTACATATTTATCTTATTGTAAATGACATATCTGCCTCTAAATATATCGAGTAAACTGTGGCATCTTAGGTAGGAAACTGCTGTGAAAATTTCATTAAACCAAAAAATACGAATATCTATACTTTATGGGTTGCTTCGACTTATGTGACAGCTGTTTGTAGCAACTTGTTCACCGGCTAGAGACACCGGTTCAAGCTATGTGGCGTGGGGACATTCAACTCTTGTAGGGCCGGTAAGTTCACATTTCAGTTAGGCCAGCATTTTCACCTACAATTCTTCTATGATTTTGATTTATTGACCTATTGACATTCTGAATTTTTTGAATTATGGCTGAGAAATAACTGGACGGACTAATGCTTGCAGTTCGGCCAAGTTTTAGCGACCACAGAGCACGAAGAGGCGGTAATCATAGCCGAGATTGATTATTCCGTTATCGAGCAAGTAAGGTATGAATAGCATGCTTTCGATATTCACTAATGTGTATCCAATACTCAATAGATTAATCACAATTTAGGCTCTGTTTTTGGTACTTTGAATTTTGAAAAAAAAAAATCGGAATAGTAAAAAGTTGATATAACGGCTCTCTTCACGCAACTTTTTTAAATGGATTGATTTTTTATTATGGTATGAGAAATTGTGTTAAGAGTATAAAATGTATTATTTCAAATTGAATATTTGACTTTTTGTAACGGGTATTTGAAGTTTTTTTTTTTTTTTTTTTTTTACTATTGTAAAAAGATTTTTGTCTTGTTTTTTACTCTCCATCCCAAAAGTATAGTCTTATTGTGTTGGACACGAGATTTAAGGAATATTGATATTATATTAGTAGTTGGTAAAAAGTAAGGTAAATGACTTTTTTGCCCTTGTGAGTATATTAGTGTAACAAGTAGTGGCAATTGTGTAATAATAATGAAAAAGTAAGGATAGTTTTACGGTGATACGATTATTTATGGAAATTAGACTATTGTTTTGGGACGGACAAAAATGGAGTATTATTTTTAGAGAATCGCAATTGAAAAATAGCGTTGGAAAAACAAAATGAATGTTTTGTGAGAGAACAAATCTATTTGATGTAAAATACTCCCTCCCTCCAGCTACAAAGTATACATATTTCTATTTTGAGACGTCTAATTACAAAGTAATCATTTCATTAAATACCTCATTTTTTTTCACAATACCTTTACTTTATATCACATTGTTATTTTTATACCAAAAAATAAGGGCAAAATTGTCATTACACTACTTTTATTTATCTACTGTATTTAAAATACTATTATTTCTTAAACTCCGTGCCAAAAGTAAATATATACTTCTTGCTTGGATGGAGGGAGTATTATTTTAATAATTCTTGTAGATGAATAGTGCCAAAAACTTCTATGTAAGCCTGTGTATGTTTTTGGACCGAAAACATAGTTTTCGCTATAAAAACATAATTTTCATTGTGTAAATAAAGATGAAAACATAAGTGAACACATTTTACATTTTATTCTACCCGAGCCGACCAAATCTCATTGATCCAAACCATTTTTCGACCCATTTGTTTTGGCAATGCAGGAAATTCCTTCCATGTCAGATTCAGCGCCGGGGGGATCTCTACCAGCTAGTCGATGTCCAGAGGCTGGATTCCACGTGCGCCAACTAAAGGATTTCTTATTTGCTCGGGGGGGAAGAAGATGTCAAAAGCGCAAAATATCGTCATCGATCCAACCACTTCTACACAGCTCGGCTCGACTCGATTCCGGTGAGTGTCGAATTCCCTCTCCATGATTGTTGGCTTTGTTTTGTTGAGAGAGAGATGAGATTGAGATTGAGATTCGGCTTAGAAATGGAACCATGGATAGATGGTTGCAATAAAAATTATTATTATTTTTATCTTCTATAAATAACAAAAATGGTTTGTGGGCTTATGCTATGTGTCGCATTATATTTAAATAAGCATATAGGTTGGTTTTAAATTACACTAGCCTAAATGGACACATTTTTCAATTGAAGTTATCTGTATTTTTATTAATAATATACTATTTCCGTTTCGAAATAATAGTCTCATTTGGTTCAACATAAGATTTAAGAAATAATAATTTTATATTGAAAGTAATATAAAGTCAATAGTAAAAGATTAAAATATTGTATAAAAAATAATAGTATTTGTGTAATAATAAGAAAAAATTAGGAATAGTTTTATCATAATATGGTTATTTATGAAAATAGAATTATTATTTTAGGACCAAAGAAAATGAAAAAAAAAAAAAAAAAAAGAAAAGAAAAAGGAATTCGCAGTCGTTACTCATCGAATGTGTTTCGGATAAACCCGCAAATCATGTGTGATAGGTGGACCTGGAGGTGTCGAGGGTTTGAATCCATGACCTCACAGTCACGAATTCACCCGGTCATTCCTTACCGGACTTGTCTCTCTTATTTTTCTATTTTTGTTGACCGGTAGCACGGTCAATCAAATAATTCACATATTCCGTTATCACAATTTAATGTAATACAGGAGAAAGGATCGTCTCCACATGGATTGTGTGATTCACTCTTTTGCGTTAGGTACGATCGTTAACTACCCATAATTAAGCAAATAAACTTAGGTGCGTCCATAAGAAATATTGCCTAATTGCATTCTAATTCAAAAAAACCCAATTCAAAACAATTACTACCTAAGATGAGCAATTAGATTTGATTGTCTAACCCCGAGAATGAACTATTCAACCCGGTTGTCACCTATTCAAGTGTGAATACAATTATAGATATTCTACATGAATTGACTTTAGATTATCATATTAATTCAAATATCGGTACCAAAATATTCAATCAATCTAACAATCACAAACGTTATTCTCAAAATTAGATAAATATTGATAATCAAAAAGAACTTTTATAAAGAAAATTAAGAATCACGAAAACAAAAACATTATCATCCCTCACACCAGAAACGTATCTACTCCATAATCTAATAGCAAAAAACAAAAATGAAAGATAAAGTCATGGTGGAAGGAAAAATCTTATCTCGATTTGTTCCTACGCAATCTATGAGTGTTAGTTTAGTCTCCTGTCTTGTGCGTATCTGCCTCTGGCCGTTCTCTTCCTCTTCTGCGTGTGCCTCCCATCCTTTTATTCAATTTTTGCCATAATTATTTTTTAGTTGGGTTTTTGTGCCTTTAATTAAATTCTTATATCACGAGGGTAACTAACTAGATGGTGCAAATCTGAATTTTTCTTTACTTTTCGGCCAATTACGTCAAATTTGATATTTACTCTATGTACACAGCAAATAAACAATACGCATATAAATTAGGTAGAATCCAATCAAAATCAATCAAATATCGCATATGATATGAACATAAAACGCATACGATTTTTAACTATCATTTGTTTATTTCAAAACAATAGTCATATTTTCACAAATAGTCATATTGAAATTGTTCCTATTTTTACATAAATATACCCATAATGGGCGGCGGCTACAGTGCTGCTAAACAACATTCTATATATATATTAATATAATACAAATACATCACATAAACAAATAACACATGTTATAGTTTCAACAACATATATGTGTTGGAGTTGAAAAATCAGCATAGTGCACCCTAATCATTTTGTATAATAAAAAAAATTATTATTTTAAGACGGAGATGATAGTATTAGTGACACATACATCTTATACAAATATACTCACCTTATTCCTTAATTCGGAAACGAAACTACCTAAAAGCTTGGGGACAACTACCTCCAATCCAAAATTTATCATATCTCCGTCATCAAATCAAATCAAAACCAAACAAATCCGTTCCTATCTATTTTTGTATACAGTGAATAGAAGTGTTGTCTTCTTTATTTTTCAGTTTTTTACTATTCAAACATACAAATCTTTATAAAAAATATATTTCATCTCTTACAAAAAATTACGCTAATTTGATGTATATAAATTTAAAAAAAAAAAGAGTAAAAATATAAACTTTTTCTTATGATAAAGAAAAAATATATTTTTTTTCCTAAAAGGAGAAACAAGAATAAATTTAAATAATAATTAAAAACGAAAGTGGAAATAAATTTGAATGATATAAGAAATTTTTCTTTAATTACTATTTAAACATGAATCAAATATTCCAAAAAAATTTAATTACATTATTTTAATTCTATCCTATCATCATTAATTTAAAGTATTTTAATTATATATTATGATTGTTGTGACCTTATTTTTATTATATATATATATATTTCCTCCGTCCTATATCTATATATCCATTTGTTTTTTGCACGGAGCTTTAAAAATATTAGTATTATATTAGGATAAAGTAGAAAAAAGATAAAAAGACTAAATTAACCCTATTAATATTTTATGATATAAATGTAATGATATTTGTGTAATATATTGTAAATTATAAGGGTATTTGTATGTTAGGTAAATAGTATAATTACTAAAAAAAAATAAAAATTGATACTATGTTACGAAGAGACCATAATAAAAAAAAATGAATAAATTGTTAAGAGACTGAGGGAGGGAGTATATATTATGTTACGAAAGAAATCATAAATTAAAGTTATTTTTTATTGTGAAATTAACTTGATTATGGTAGTTTTGGCTAAAGCAACTTTATTACTGTAACTCCAGCCATTAATCCAAATTATTAAATCAATGATTAGGACCAGCTTGTGCTTTTAATTTTAATTTTATTGTATAATACTACATCAAAAATATTTTTTAATTAAAAAATGTATTACATTCATATTTTTACTTAAATTAAATAGAATTAAAAAATATAATATTCTCACATTTAAAATCTTCTCATTCTTTTATTTTAGTTTATCCATTCAAATCTTCTCGTATTTGTTTTTTTTAATAAAATTACATTTCACATAAATACAAAAATACTCTTAATTTATCATCATATCATTACTCTAACATTAAAAAGTAAGAACAAAATTATCTTTACATATATTATTTATACTTCAATAAAATGTTAATATATTTAAATTTGTGTGTAAAAAATAAATAAAAAAAATTATTAGTAAACGAAATAGAGACAAACACTCTCCACCGAAATCAACTGTCGAGGTATTTTTTTTATATTATTTATTTTATTTGTTACTGAAAGCGTGGACTTTTACTTGTACACTTTGAACTGTCTAAGTAATTTTTTGTTCTAAAAAATAAATAATGTAAATATATTTATTCTTATTATTATTGTTATGCAAACACCAAAGTTTCGTTTCAATTTTTTGGATTTGGGGAATTTTTATTTTTAATTAATAAATTGATATGTATTTTATAAAAATAAATAAATAAATTATATTTTTATTAGAAAACAAAAATAAAGAATAATAAATATTAAAAATAATCCAAAAGAATAGATTCCAAAGTTTTCTATGACAAATATATACAGTTCTTTTTTTAACAGAATATCGGAATATCGCATTTAATATTATTTATAGAAGTGCAAACTAGATACAAAATATATATTCTTTTTGAAGTTTGATTTTATTTCTTATTTTTATTTAAATATTTTTTTTATTATTATGATATTTAATGAATATATGAATATACTTGCAACAATTCATAGTCCAAAAAATCAAAATCATTTTTCCTTTTTTTTTAAAAAAAAAAGAAAAAGAAAAGAAAAAAAGATTAAGTTAAATCCAAATGGGAGTCTCAATCGTTAAACGAGTGGGAATCATTGCTGATTTGATGGACTATTAGTCATTCCCAACATTATTTTTTTAACTATATTAATAATCTTATTATTATTATTATTATTATTATTATTATTATTTCGATCAAATTATATAGTTTTGGTTGAATGTAAAAAATTTAAAAATAATAGTAATATTTTAATATTAAAGTAAATAGTAAAAATTAAAGTGAAAGTAATATAGAAAATTTATTAAGTCATTTATAAAAAAGTGATAAGGTTACTAGAAAAATTAGTGATAAATTAATTATTATATGTTAAATATGACTGATAGAATTATGAATAAATAAAGTTAATTACTATTAATAAATTATATATAAATTTAACATAATAAAAATAATGATAGAGTATCATACTTTATTATTACTTGTTATTATGAATATTTCCATTTCGAATATTTTAATACTAATTTTTTTAAAAAAATATTTTATAACTTTTAAACAAAAATATATAAATTTCTAGGCCGTGTGATAAATTTTGCTTCATTTGAATGAAGATTTGTTTATATGATATTTGGTTTAAATAATAGCTTGAATATAGTATTTTATAGAATATACATATATATATATATTTATATACATATATAATTCCAATAATTTTATAGTAAAAAACATTGAAATAAAACTCCAAATAACTAAAGCTTTATATCGATAGATGTACTTTGATATATATGTTTTATAGTGATATTTATACAATATTTGAAAATTAATTTGATATTTTTGCATTTTTATACTATTATTGAACAAAATACACTATAAAATGACTAGCATAACTAATAAATAAATAATATTTCGAATATTTCTATTATTTTTGTTAGGATTAATGGAATAAACTTAATTTCGTCAATTATAATTAGGGTACAATATTATATATATACAAGAGATATATTATGGACGGATATATATATCTAAATTTATACACTATATATCAACATATATATATCAACATCCCCTCAAACTCAAGGTGGAACAGTGAAACCCTACTTGAGTTTACTAAAAAATGACTGAAAACGGCCGGGAATATGAAGCTTGGTGAAACCGTCGGCAGTCTGATCAGCAAAAGGAATGAGAGACAAGGAGACGTTGCCATGAACAACATGATGACGTGCAATGTGACAATCGATCTCAATGTGCTTTGTACGCTCGTGGAAGACATCATTCGTCGAAATCTTCACGACGTTTTGACTGTCGCAATGAATAATAGTGGCAGAGGACT